TGGATCCACCTTGAGCTCGCTTGTAGTCTTTCTTGATTTCATGTCGGGTAATATCGAGTCGCACGCCTCGTCCTGCTTTACGTGATTTCATAGCCTTCTCCAGTTTCATGGACCGAATCTCCTAAATTACTATACGAACATCACTTCTGCTGTTAGTAGCAACATGTGTGTTGAACACGGTGTATTCCGTAGTGGGGCGGAGCGGAGGAAGGGAATTGTGTTTTCCACACGAGATTATCTGTGACCGGTATATCCGGCGTAGTACCGGTACGTGTACTTCTTGAAAGCTGCCAACCACACACATGGCCTCCACTCCTCACTTCGCATTTGGAGAACAAGAACTACGACCAAGAAAGAGGGGGGGGGGGTCATCCTACACCATGTCTTCCAGCGCACCCAACTCGCCATCGTCCAGGGCCACCACGGCCCCGTCCGACAGCGCCTCTACCGTCCCAGCAGCCGACGTCGTCGACGTCACTGGTGGAGAGGAGACGTGGACCAATACATCCGCCCGCAGCACCTCGGACCCTCCGCCGATTCGCACGAGCAAGCGAGCTGCCGCCCGCAACGTTTCCTCTCCAGCGCCGGCCGAGGCCCGCAAGGGAAAGAAGAAGGCGCCCAAGCGCACGACCACGTCGCCTGCAGCTACTACCAGTCGAGCGAAGAGTGACGACGCCACTGAAGACGGGTCCGACCACGGCCTGGAGGACAAGGCGGCGACTCCTAAGCCTAAGAGGGCGAGAAGTCAGCAGGGAATACTGCTCCGATCGTGCAGCTCCCTCCACCAGTTGTACAACCTCCTACACCAGCCGCTCCTGAGATTCGCCCGAGCTCCCGGAAAGACTTCGACCTGTCCACATTATGGCGTCGTTTGAGCCCGGTCGCGGTGTGGCATCGGCCGAGGGTCCTGCTGACCATCCTTCTCTTCAAGAGCCTGACCCAACACCCATCGTACCGCAGCCTGCAGCACCAGTGGACCTGTTGCGCGAGCTTCGTTCCTCACGCGATGAGGTTGCACGCTTGCGGCAGCTCCGCGGTAGCGAAAGTACTCAATGGGGTGGGGCGTTCGCAGGCACAATCGTCACGGTATCAAGCTCGAAAGGAGAGCTGACTCCTTCTGAAGTCCGTTACCTGACCAGCGCAAGCTTCCCAGAAGGCTCAAAGAAGGCGAAGGGCGACTACAATCCTCCGCAAGCCCACATGTTGGCCGCAAGTCGAATGTTCCGTGACTTCGGTACGGAGACATGTAAGGTTACATCTGCTATGTATTTTGTTCTGCGTGTTCGGGAGCTGGACTGCGTGAGGTTCCAAGTGACACCCGCCGTCCTGATGGCAGTCTTCAGCGGGCGTTTAGGTTTTGTGGCCTAACAGTGATGCACTTCAAGGAGATTCGCGAAATTGCGTGCCTAGAAGACGGCTCGACGAACGCCAACTTCTCAAGCGACTTTAGTCCTTCAGCAACGCTACCTCCACGGCTTGAACGCACTGGGCCAGGAGGTGTGGTACGACCACATGCGCAAGCTGACGTCGAGGTTGCGGGCGTTCGTGTCGAAGAACAAGCAAGCTGATCCCGCCAACACTCCTGGTCGCGTTCGGTTGACACTGATGTACGCGAACAAGTTCATCGGGACGGCACTGGGGTAATCTCAAAGTTGATGATGCGTCGTGGTGGATGGGCTTCTGTGAGACGCTGCGATGCATCGACTACCAGTCGCCGCTGCGGGCGATGGCCCTCCTCAGTGTTCTCAGCCAACCAGCAGACAACGACGGGAGAGTTGCCCGTGACCCCGGCGGACGCCAGCGCCGCGACGAAGCTAGGAGACCTGCGATTCCTGACGGCATCCGACGTCTTATCCCGCTTAACCGGCGTGGACAAGAACCGTGTTTGCTGAATGTGGCAGGTCTCCCGTGTTCTGGAGGCACCCGCGATCGTTGCGGCAACCACAAGCGAGCACACAACTGGCCGGACCGCCTGCCTCTGCGAGTACAGAAGTGGGTTGATGAGACGTACTGGTCGCGCCGCGAGAATCCAGGCGAGCGTTGCTGATGGGGCGGTGAGGTTGAACACAGAGGTATTACTGAAATTTGAGTGGAAGTATCTCGAATCAGAATGATCTGCTTTGCTAACAAGGTCATAGCCGAGGGTTATGCTAACTTTGTAAGCACTTGTCTCACTCTCAAGAACGTGGTGAAGCTTGTCATAGAACTCACTACGGTGGGTTCCTTCGTATAGGTGCGAAATCATGTGGTTGCCCCTGAAAAAGCGATAGTGAGGGTCAGTTTGATAGTCTGGGGATAAGATATTCTCCAGTCGCTTGAGACTGACCTTGTACAGCTTCGCTACAAGCTCTAAGTTTTTGAGGCGCGATAAGTTTCTCGCATACACCATCTTACCGGTCCTACCGCTAACCTTAACTCGGTAGCTGCTTCCCCATTTAATCGCTCGGATATTAAATCGTTTTAGACATTTAAGCTCGTATGCCGTTGTATATATCGTTCGCTATATTTTTCTTCGTGAAATGACTATCTTTTTTGAGATTTTGTATCAGAATTGGCTTTATATCGTAGCCATCGACAAAAATTTCCGAAATTAATTAATTGCCATACCAAAATTTATCGGACCGGGTGACCTTATCAGACCTATGTATTGTACACAGCTTATCGCAGATATGTACGAGGTTTAGGGGAGGGCATGCCTGATATGAAATGACGCTGAAGGCCAAAGAGTGGTCAAACAGACTGTTTTATAGACGGCAGGAAATGGCCTGAAACGCCCTCTGGGCTGAGAAAATCACTATTTTGTTTTTCTATGCATTTTTGGCATGAGAGTCACGTGCGTATGAGTTAGTATATTCAACAATAAGGCAGAATCGCCACGATCGTCCGGATAATTTTGCATCTGTCCGGTAAATTAAGATTGGCGACAGCCAGTTATCAGAGCTACTATTGCTTATTGGTTAAATATCTGCCCGTAAAAACGTGCCACTTTTATTTGCGTTAGAATACACGTATTAAATGTTTTGCATCCTCTCACTTTCAGTCAATCCGTCGCCGACAGCTCACTTTGGCGGCCAGTCTTACTTTTTTCAACGCAACCACGCTGATCTCCCGTACGGGCTGCACGGTCTTCCAAGCCTCCAGGTCGCCTCTGACCCCCCCCCCCTTCCAACGATGTAGCTTAACTGGAAGAGCGCAAAATTTCGGCCTTGAGGATGCCTGTTCAAATCGGATCATCGTTATTGCTTATGCTTGGGCTAGAGGCCTTGTAGCAAAGATCAAGTTTCGTGGACAGCTCAGATCAGCAAGAAAGGTGACTGCATAAGTGTGTTGAGGTCGGCATAGCTTAATGCTGTGAGGAAGGGTGAATACATTCTCATTTAAATGCTTGTTCCACTTACTAACCTCCTCAAGAACGTCCTGCGTATAGCCAGGATACGGGTCTTGGATTGCAGCTGTCTGGAGCAGTTAGCGGTGGCGCTGGAACTTAGCATTTGGCGCGCCGGTGCAGTGGACCCGCTGGAGGAGCTTGAGGACCGCGCTCGATCCGCGAGAGCTGATGCTGTGTTTGACTTTCAAGTACCTGAGTACGGCATTCTCGACGCGCTTCCCCAGCTCCAGAACTCGGTCGCGGTAGTCCGCTGAGGTTTGGCTGAGCACGAAACCGTCGTCGAAGAAAGCTTCATGTAAGCGACTAGCAGCTTGGCCTTCGAGCGCTGCTACTTCGGTGTTTCGACGTACCAGCGTGGCCCTTGCGCGTACCAGGTAAACTAAGTCGCATGAAGGTAGTTAGCTGATCCTCTACGCTGTTTTAGCTTGGGTTTCCTCACATCTGTGGCGTCTTCATCTTGAATGCTTCTTTTTCGCGTTTCAGCTACAGGATCACCGTTCAGCTTAGCCTCAATCATATCCATGCGGGAGTCTTGGCGCTTGGAATATTCTCATAAGGTGTTTAATGACAGAGGCCTGGTGCTCGATGATCTTCTATTCTTGGCTTGGTTTCTTTGGCATGGATGGTGAGGTGGATGCTTCTATGTTGTCTTTACAGGAATGCTGCGCTTCTGCAAGATGCGTCGACCAGGCTAAGAGGTCCGTAACCGTACGTCCCGCCTGCGTAACACAGGTTTCGATTTGATGCACGGCTGGACTGTTGGGATTCAAGCCCTTTTTGACGGGGTAGCGCCTAACGACGCAAGCGGTCAGGACATCTAGAGCCTTCCGGTTGATGTTGAACCTCTCCGTCTCTATTTGATAGCAAGCTGCAAACCACACTCGTTGGAACTCGGCAATCGTGTCAAGCGTGTCGGCGTCAAAGCTGGACAGGTCTTGGAGAGGGACAACGTCCTTTGGTTTGTATCCACTCAATACCTTGGCAATCATGCGGTCTTCACTACTTGTGTTGAAGATGTAGCTGACCCCTTTGTTTGTGGTGCTTAGGTTCCAAGATCGGCGATCAAAGATCCAGCGCGCGGTCATCTTCTCGCAGCAGTTGGCAGGTTGGGCCCCACCACGACGGAAAGCGTGCGACGTGAGAGCAGCTGACACACCGGCGGCAGGGGCGACGCGATCAAGCATACGGCTGACATGTGCGTAGATTGTCGGAGCCGCAGCACTACGAGGAGGAGGAGGACCAGGTGTAGCAAGACCAGAGGTCGCCGGTGATGCGTTTAGGAGTTCACGAGCGGCACGTCAGGTGATAGTGTGGTCAGCGTTTGCTGCACTTGGTCAGGAAGGTTCCCGATGAGAGCTGAACACGGTGCTGCTTGGACGGAGAGGGCGAAAGCAACAACGAGCAAGGGGAAAGTTGTGAAGTCGGCGTCGGGGAAGAGATACAAGCCTTGTTCTTTCGACGTCTTCGCACGGACCAAGCGAAGGAATAAGACACGGGCGGCATCTATAGAGATGTTCCGCTTCTTCATCATCGACAGGTCCGAAGCTCGCCCGAACAGGTACCAGAGCAGCCACATAGAGCAGCATCTTGGTAGACACTCTCAGAACATGCATTGACATACAAATACACAACCATTTTTTTCAAATCAGCCTTTGTACATGGTGGAGCCTTTGCTACAAAGCCACCACCATTTCTTTCAGACAAGAGTTATCTAGAGTTTTTCCCATTTTAAGCAGCCGCGATTCTAGTGAAGCTTGGTGCTGAGGAAATTGCTCTAGGAGCCAAATTTTTGCTTGGCGATAGTTATGCATTGCAGTGTTTCGTGCAAGCAATTTACACTTCTTTCCTTCACTAAACGCAAGATACATTCCAAACTTATCCATGACGCACACAAAGCTCTTGCCACTCTCATCCTCCTCAATACATTTCGTAACGTAATCCTCCTCAACATCCTCACCCTTTAAAAACTTGGAAAATGCTGCGACAGCAGTTGCCATAGCCCGCAATGTGTTGCCAGGTTGCAATTCCTCCAAACCCATCGCGAAGGTCCGATAAAGAGGAATATGAAAGTGATACGTCTACCTCTTGACAACTGAATGAACATACACATAGTTTAGAGTTTTATCGGAGTTGATACGTCCGATCGAGTGGCTTGGATGACTCACCTATACCTACTGCATCCGATTGGCTAAAATCATGATTTAGATTAGCTGTGATTGGTTGGTGATATTTGCTGGCAGGTAATTGCCAGTATATACCCATACAAATTTATAAGTATGGTCCGATAAACTATCATATTCATCCATATCACCAGCGGTTTGTTATAATCTGGGAATGTCTCTGAAGTTCTTTTCTTCTGATTGGCTACATACGAAATGAGTCTCGGATCATGTATGATGATATCTTGCAGTGACTTAGATGTCTCAGACCAATCCACATTAGGTACGATTACCGCTTGTTTCTTAGTTGTATATTCTTTCGCACCACTGGAGGCCTGCCAAATATCGATTAAACGGGTGACTTATCTGCAGCAGATATGTCAGCGTTTAAGAAGATAAATGTTGACTTTTCGCTAAAGTGATCGACCACAAATAGTATACCGCTGATTTCTGTGACCGAATGTCATTGCCCTGAATCAGGTACAGTAGTAGCTTTAATAATTTGTTGTATTAGCAAATGTATCCGTCACTTTGTTCGGGCATCACCAGACGCGCTCACGTTCATACTTCTCACTTCCGAATTTGTGCGCGTCTTGCTCAAGTGATGGTGGACGACCAGTCGGACGTCGCGCTGGTGCTGACCGAAGCTTTCTTGAGTCATGACAAGGCACCGAACTAGGTCCGACGAGAGGTGTACCAGCTGCTAGTGGAGGAGGCATGGAAGACCGTCATGCGGAGCAGACACTACATAACTACGCAGTGCCTTGACACGCCGAGTCACTCGGCGTGGATGGTGCTGTACGGCAATGACGTCAACTTCTTAAATGCTACAAGCTTGAACAGGTAAGTCGGTTTTACAGCTAAACTCCTTCGTATTTGTCTAACTCGAACAACATCATATCGGCGTTCCACCAGCTCCTTCGACGATTCAGTCGCTACTACAACATCCCTCATCACACGACTCGCGGTCGACCGCCTAAGCTAAAATACCTCCACCAAGTTCTGGGTCTCGTGTTGTCCTTTTACGTAGGCTCGATGGAGCAGAACACCCTTTGCTTGGTGTTCGGAGTACCATCAAGCACACTGTCGAGAATCCTACCGCGTACAGAGGAAACGCTGTCCAGGGCCCTGACGGGATACGCTCCGGCAAGGATCGCGTGGCTATCTTCTCCTCGTCCGGTTGAGCTTGCCAAACTCGTTGGAGCTCGAGAGCCCCCTTTAAAGCATACATTCGGCTTTATAGATGGTAAGAATCTGAGAGTAAGGAAAAACCATATTGCTATATGAGTTATATTTCTGCGAGAAGGATTCAAGGCTACTGATATCTAATAGACTCCAGGTCCAACAGCTATCGAACGCTGACCTGCTAAATGCAATGTACAACAGTTGGTTGTATACCGTCTTCGTCACGGGGACGCTCTGCTTTGCAGCGGACGGCTGCATTATTTGGTGTAAGCACAACTGCCCCGGGTCGCATAACGACTTGGACACATCACTCGGGTTCCGCACCAAGTTATTTGATCCCATGGTCTGCCCGGATATGAGAATGAACGTCGTATCGGACTCTGCCTTCCCGTGCTCTACTACGATGGCTGGCCGCATTCTGACGCCCTTGAAAGACGGTGATCTCGAGAGCATCTTACCGTCCCTCAGGAGCGCGGCACGGACGATACACAATGTCATAACGTCTGCGCGGCAGGCAGCTGAGTAGGGAATGGGAACTGTTGAAAAGATGTACAGCCGTCTCAACCTCCCTTTACCCTACGATCCAGAGCTCCGAGGGCTCAGACTTAACAATCTATTTCGGATGGCCAACTACCGCGCTCGCACGGTCGGCATCTCGCAGATCCGGACGACATTTAAGGGAGACATGGAAGTGCCAATTGAGATGACGTAGGAACCTGAGGGCTTAGTATAATGAAGATCAACTTTGCGATCTGCACGGATACGGATACTTGAACAAGTATTGAGAAAGAATCGAATGTAGTATAAGTTGTGTGAATGCGCGAGCTGATAACAAAATGATGGGTGCGCGATCGGGCTTTTTCGCGGTCACGGCGGGCCCGTTCCTCCATTTCGAGTCTTTCAGCGCGGCGGCGCTCGTCGGAATCGGCCTTCTCTGCAAGACGGCGTGCTTCTTGGGTTGCCAGCTCGTCGCGGCGGCGCTGTTCATTCTCCACACGACGGATCTTCCCTTTGCGCTCGTTTTCTTCGCGTAGAATTAATATGATTATAAGAATGCTGCTACTCGCTGAGTTGGAAGCTTTCTCGATCCTGTCGAGCTTCGGCTTGAGTGCGGTGGTGGTTTTCTAGACGCGGCTCCGCTTGACCTTGGCGTAGCTACCCTCGAGCATCTCTAAATCATCAGCACTCGATCGCTTGGGTATCACGAAAAACTGTCAAATCAGGAGCTCCAAGGCGGTCTGAATAGTTCAGCAGTTTTGGATACTTTG